TATAGAGCTGCATCAGAAGTAGAGCAGCCGGGACTCGAACTGGTGCCTATATGGGATGCTGGCATTACCCGCTATGCCACAGCGTTGGTCCTGGGACCTGATTTCATGAGTCATTATCTGCTGCCTCCCAGGGTAGCTGGTGGATAGCTGGAGTTAGGAGCTGCAGTCAAGAACCAAACCCAGGCACTGTGATATAGGATAGGAGCATCTTAATTGGTAGATTAATTATACCCCCCACAAATATTAATGACCCTGTCACTTGTATAGTACTATAGTACTATAGCACTATCAATTAATAATCAAAAATGTTAATTGAGCACTTGCTACATGCTGAGTTCTATGCTAAGTGCTCAAATTTGAGGTCTCCCTTCATTCTCCTTCTAACTCTATAGAGTACATACAATTTTTAGAGATTGAGAAATAGGCTGGCGCCGCGGCTCAATAGGCTAATCCTCTGCCTGCGCCGCCAGCACACCGGGTTCTAGTCCTGGTTGGGGTGCCGGATTCTGTCCTGGTTGCTCCTCTTCCAGTCCAGCTCTCTGCTGTGGCCTAGGAGTGCAGTGGAGGATGGCCCAAGTGCTTGGGCCCTGCACCCGCATGGGAGCATGAGAGACCAGGAAAAGCACCTGGCTCCTGGCTTCAGATCAGCGCAGTGCGCTGGCCACGGCGGCCATTGGAGGGTGAACCAACGGAAAAAAAGGAAGACCTTTCTCTCTGTCTCTCTCTCTTACTGTCCACTCTGCCAGTCAAAAAAAAAAAAAAGCATAGGTTAAAAGATGTGTCTAGTCACACTTGTAGTAAATAATAGATTTTGGTATTCAATCTCTACTTTTCTCAAAGCCTGTGCTTTTAAGGATAGTATGATATTGCCTCAGTTTACCTAAAATATGTAGACTTTTTAAAATGGCCCCCAATAATCCCTGCCTCCTATGGGTTAACTCCCTTACAGGAATCTCCTTCCATTGGGTGTATGTTGGATCTGGTGACTTGGTTCCTTGGTTCTAAAAAAAAAAAAAAAAGGAATGTGGCAAAATTGAAGAGATGCCATTCGGAGATTAGATTATGAATGACTGACTTCAGTCACTTGCTGGCACTCGTTCTTGCCTTCCTCCTCACTTGCTCTGATAAAGAAAGCTGCTGCTTTGCGATCTGCCCTCCAGAGGGCAGGAACTAAGCGCAGCCCCCAGCCAGCAGCCCATCTAGAACTAATTTCTGCCAACATCCACATGGGTGAGCATGTAAGTAGATCCTTCCTCATTAGAGCCTTGAGATTCCTGCAGACTGGCTGACACCTTGACTGCAAGCTTGTGAGAGCCTAAGCAGAGAATCTCATTAAGCCACGCCCAGAATCCTACTTACAGAAACTGTTTTAAGCTATCAGGTTTTGGGAGTGATTTGTTACGCAGCAATAGGTAACTAATACAAATGATAATGTCAGTATTAATAACTATCCAAACATCTGGTGCTTATATAGTGTTTCAAACTTTTCCAAAGAAAAAATCAAGTTTCAAAATGGTAAAATTAGAAAAAAATTCTTCCCCCAAATCATAGCAGCTGCACTTGAAAATACCACCTGCATTTTCAACAAGAAAAATTTATATTTATTCACCTGGTTCTCATTACCTTAACTCCCAGTTCTAAAACCATTTGAAACATGGTACCTAGCAAGGGAGGTATTTTCTTCTTTGTGCTAAGCTATTAGTAAAGAGGCACGTTTAAACCATCTGGCCTGGGTGTTCTTTAGGACTTCAGATTTATAGCAGCCAGTTGGATTTCTTACCCTGTGCTGGGGTTTCCTAATCCCTGTATCAATTCCCACTCCAAGAGAGGGACATGGATTTTAAGCTGTCAATCAGCATTTTTGCCAGTTGAGATGTAATATAAGGGATAAGATTTAATAAAAAAATTAACATAAGTCCAGAGCTCAGATTGGGCAAGACCACAAAGAATTTTTCTATGAAGTTTTCCCAGAAGGAGCTAATTACTGTGGGAGAAAGTAATCTTCATGTTTGGCTTGAATAACCACAAAAACAACAAAATGCAAATGTTTAAAATATGATAAGAAAATTAAAGAAGGAAAAAACTTTTGATTGCAATCTCGGGGGAGGGGGCTAACTTTTTCCCCTTAAAACACATATTCTTAACAGCAAGAGACTACAGGTTCATTCATTTCACACATAGGTATTGAACATCTAATAGGTGCTAGTAAAGGACCTAATGCAAGGGATACACGACAGAGTAAGATAAACACAGTCTCTACCCTAATATAGCCTAAATTTTAGTGGGAGAGACAGATAAGTCAATGCTACAGCAATAAATCATTAAATAATTGCATGTTGTAATGGTGATTGAAAGTAAAGAGGAAATGTTTACACTGGATGTTCAAAAGAGGCTTGTCTGGAGGAAGAGTGGGGTCAGCTCTATCAGAAGCTGGGAGAGAACTTTTCAGACAAAGGGAACAGCAAACACAAAAGCCCTGAAATTAAAAAGGCTATGGAATGTTCTAGAAATGTCAGAGATTGGTGAGCCTGGTAGAAGCAGTGTAAGATGAGGAAGCGGTAGTTGTGGGTGAGATCATTTAGGGCCTTGCAGACACTGGAAAGGAGTGGAATTTTACTCTGAATTCAAAGGGAGCTCACGGAAGTCTTTTAAGGTCCAAATGGTGTCCATTAATTCCTGTTTTCAAAAGATCATTCTCTTAGTTGTGTGAGGAATAGATAGTAATTAAGAACGCATAAGCTGAGTGGAAACCTATTGCACTAGAATAGTGGCTGGGAGCAGAAGTGGTAAAAGACATGAAGAATAATGGACAAGTTTTAGAAATAAAATTGTAAAGGACTTGAAGATGAATTGGATGTAGTGGCTAAAGGAACAAACAAATCAAGAATACCTTTGTGTTTGGTGTTTGATATATGTATATGGTACCATGTAGTACATATACTGAGGAATCCCTACAAAGATCTGTGTGTTGAGAGACTCAGGACGTGGGTTTTGAACATGTGAAGATTGAGATGCCTGAGTTTTTCAGGTGAAGATATGATTTAGGAAATTCATCAATGAGTTTGAGTTTGATATTATTATTAACAATAATAAAGTATTATAAAACCTATTATTAATATAAAGACAGTCATATCCATGGTTTATCTAAATATAACAATACATACATCATGTAAAGTTATGCTTGGTAACCTAATTCTTTGATTTTTCAGAAAGCTGAAATATACCTAAGACCCATTTCATTTTCTTTTCACTTTTTTTTTTTTTTGACAGGCAGAGTGGACAGTGAGAGAGAGAGACAGTGAGAAAGGTCTTCCTTTGCCGTTGGTTCACCCTCCAATGGCCGCCGCAGCCTGCGCGCTGTGGCTGGCGCACCGCGCTGATCTGATGGCAGGAGCTAGGTACTTATCCTGGTCTCCCATGGGGTGCAGGGCCCAAGCACTTGGGCCATCCTTCACTGCACTCCCTAGCCACAGCAGAGAGCTGGCCTGGAAGAGGGGCAACCGGGACAGAATCCGGTGCCCCAACCGGGACTAGAACCCTGTGTGCCGGCGGCGCAGGCAGAGGATTAGCCTAGTGAGCCGTGACACCGGCTTTCACTTTTAATTGTCATCTAAACACAACGTCGTTTAAATTTCTTTGAGTCTCATGCTTTCTAATTTTTATTCTAATTGAAAATAATATCCTAAATTCTCCATTATAGAAATAGTTTCATATGCAGTTAGAGAAAGGGGGAGAGGTCTAAAATTCATAGAGTATTTACTATAAAACAGGCAGAGGCTTTAATTAAATTTAAGACTTCCCTTAAATTCCCAACAAATTTCTTAGATCACTGCCTTTTGCAGGTGAGGAAGCTGAGGCTCAGAGGATTTTAGTGACTGGTCCAGTGGCATATGGGCAGGATTTGAAGCCAAGTATTCTTTTGGCACTAAAAGCAGTGTTCCTTCTTTATCGAGGCTGTAAAGCCCAGAGCTTCTGCTTTTGCTTCTCATTTTAGTTCCACATTTTCCCCACTGTTCTTATATCTCTTTTATCTGTCAACTCAATTGACTTCAACAGTCACTGGGAGCACCCCTTATGTTTGTGTTGCTGCTGACTACATTTCTGGTGGGGTTTGGACACACTCCATTCCTCACTTCCACCATGGGATGGTGTTCTACCATAGTCTTAGCTGCTTACTAAAAAGAAATTCCCAATATCCCTTCTTCAGAATGTCATAAATAGCTGTTATTGCCTTGGCAATTTTCTGGACCTCTGCCTCCAGTGAGGATTGGCTGTTACCTAAGCTGTTAATTTTCCTCTGGCCATAACCCACAGGAAACTAGATCCATTAAGTCTGAGACTTGCTTAATAGAACAAGCAACTTGGTTTTCTTCTTTTTTCTCTTTGTTCTTCTGTAATATGTTTTATTACTATATTTTGCATTCTCTTATTTCACTTTTAATCTCATTATTTTCTGTGTTATGTTTTAGATAATCTAATGCCCTTTTCTAGTCTCAGCTTTTTCCCCATATTTCTTTTTCTTTTTTCTTTTTTTGCTCTTCAGAATAGTGCCACTTTAACACCTTAGTGATTATTTATTCATTTGTTTAAACAAAGTAATTGCTCCAGGACAGGACTTTACCATTCTATATCATAAAAAATTAACATTTGTCACTGAGAGATAAACTCGTCTTAATTACCTATGTTAGTCAAAGGAATGGCACATTACTATTATTTTTAAACAAACTCATCTGTGGTTATATCTGTGTGTCTGACCCTTATACAAGCTATGAGCTATTACTTAATCTTCCTACCCAGTCTGGCAGATAGGTATTATTATTGTCTGCTTGTTACAGGTGAAGAAATGAGTAGGAATGCAGAAGAGGAACTCAGTGTAGAGAATCTGTGTCCACTTTTGGACATGGAAGTAGAACCCAGTCCTAATCATCTACCCAAATCATATTTGGGGTAGTACATGATGGGAAGAAGAAAAGAACCCAGAAATGGGATCTCTTACTTACAAAGGTGAGGAGTGTTCCCGGGGCTGCAGGGGGGAGTGCCATTCCAGGTGAAGAGAACTGAAGAGGGGAGCATGACTGACTCTCCATGCAGAGAAAGTAGCTGTGAAGGAAGACAAACTTGCTTGTGAAGGTAGTGCCCTTCATTTTGATGCCAAATACATATTTTATGAAGCTAGAAGCTTCTATTCTGCTAGCACTCCAGCAGAAAAAGTTGCACTTACCTGCACAATGTGTGTGCTTGTCTGAAGAGACCAAAAAACATGGCGGCTTCAGGGGAGAAAGCATCTGCTTATTGAGTTGACCATGGGCCAGAGTCCCAGGTGGTGATTAGCAGAATTCTTGGGTAGCCACAGTGGGAACACACCTACAAATGGAAGATCAAACCTGGTAACCCTAAAACAGAATGCAGACTGCTTCCCTGGAAAGGAAAGAGGGAACCAGGAAACATTAGCATTTCATGATTCATGTGAATTACACATACTGTATGACAAGAATGTGAGCATAATTTCATATTTAATTTTTAAAATGACCCAGGATTATGATGACACCCTGATGGCATGTTGCATGTTAAAAAATCAGAATTGAGCACTTGGTGTAGCAGTTATAATGCCACTTGGGAGGTTCACATCTCATATCAAAATGTCTGGGCTTGAGTCCCAGCAAGGGTGAGGACAGAGTGATGAAGGAGCTCCTCTCACATGCCTGTCCCTTTTGGAAAAGAGGGAAAATCTTAGAATATTCTGCATTTGACCTCCTCTTATGTCACATTGGCAAGAACTAGGTCTGTGACCATGTAAGTTGCAAGGAAATCAGGAAGGTGAATATATAGTCCCCCCCCCGCCCCCCGCAGCGGAGAGACAGAGACAGATAGGTAAGAAGGAACTGAGTTTGTAGTGGAGGTTGGGTAGTTTCTTCATAAATGTTGGCCATATTTTCCATCTTAGTTTTTTTTGGCTGCTATAAAAATACCTTATATTGGGTAATTCATAAACAATAGGAATTACTTCCAACAGTTCTGGATGGTTGGGAAGTCCATGTCTGATGAGCACCTCTTCTTCACAGATGGTCCCTCCACTGTGTCTTCTTGTGGTGAAAGAGACAAACAAGCTTCCTTAGGCCCCTCTCGTAAGGGCACATATTCCATTTACGTGGGTGAAGTCTTCAAGGTCTAATCATCCCATAATAACCCCCACACCTTTGTAGTATTGTAATGAGGATTAGGTTTTAACAAATGAATTTTGCAGGAACATAAATATTTAGACCATAGAATTTTCTGTGTTTAAAATCCTGGGGGATGGCCGATGTGCCACTGCCTGCAACACTGGCATCCCGAATGGGTTGGTGTCTTGGCTGCTCCACTTCTGATCCAGCTCCCTGCTAATGACCTGGGAAAAGCAGCAGAATATGGCCCAGGTCCAAATTTTGGGTTCCTGTTACCCATGTGGGAAACCTGGATGCAGCTGCTGGCTCTTTGCTTTGGCCTGGCCCCACACTGGCTATTGCAGCCAACTAGGGAGTAAACCAGTGATGGAAGATCTCTCTCTGTCTCCCCCCACATGCCCTGTAACTCTTTCAAAATGAATAAATAAAATCTTTTTAAAAATCCTTCATTTTCTCTGGATTTCTTATTACATAAAGTCAAATCTCCTTATACAGGGCAGGTCTTTCATAAACAGCTTTTTGCCTCTGTCTCCAGCCTCATCCTCCATCCTCTCCCATAGACAATGGAAGCTTTAACCACTGAGGACCAATTGCAGTTCTTATACCTCAACATCCTACGCTATATGCATGTCTTAGCTTTTCTATTAAAAGACAGTCTGTGAAGTGGTTTCCAGCCTTCCGTATGACCCCAGGAAAAAGTCCAGCTTTCCTTGAAGTTCCTAGCATCTCCTGTATTCTGTTGTATCAAGTGATCAGGGCTGAGAACTGAGAACAACCTGACAGGTTTGGCAGTGGGCAGGGAACAGAAACTGTGTGGAGGTCTCAGGGGTGCAGGCCTCCCTGCTGCAGCATGAGTTTTCATAACTTGAACTGACTTTAATGCTTGATTAATTAGAGAACATTATTTATATTTAGTGGATTGCATTGGCTGTAATTGGGTAGAGATTGTGAATTAACACCTATCAGCACAAGACTGCTGTTCTGGTTGCAGGCAGCTTTGTTTAAATGGCAATGTGACAAAAGGATGGGTAAGGAAAGTGATGGGAACTGTTTTTAGATCACCTCCGTGCTTATGGTATTTCTGGTGGTAGCTGGAAAAGAAAAGCAATTTGTCCTGCAGTGAAATAGAGAGGACCTCCAAACAAATGGTGGAATTTTTAGTTGTCAAAATCATTAGTGTGGGTGGGACATTTACTGGCAATGTGGGTGGACATCAGAGGTGCTAAACTTCCTGTAATGTACAGGACAGACCTAGACAAGGAAGAAGTGGATTGTACCAGATTTAAAATACCAAAAATCACACTTGCATAATCTGTTCTGCTCCAATACAGACATGGCAGCTGGGGAAAAGGCAGTGTTTTGCGTTTACAGCTAGCTACACACAAAATGGTAAAGAAAAACATAAAAACATTCTTCTTTTCTTTCTTTTCTTTTTTTTTTTTTGACAGGCAGAGTTAGACAGTGAGAGAGAGAGATAGAGAGACAGAGAGAAAGGTCTTCCTTTTCTGTTGGTTCACCCCCCAAATGACCGCTACAGCTGGCATGCTGCATGGATCCGAAGCCAGGAGCCAGGTACCTCCTCCTGGTCTCCCATGCGGGTGCAGGGCCCAAGCACTTGGGCCATCCTCCACTGCCTTCCCGGGCGACAGCAGAGAGCTGGACTGGAAGAGGAGCAACCGGGACAGAATCCGGCGCCCCAACCAGGACTAGAACCTGGGGTGCCAGCGCCGCAGGCGAAGGATTAGCCTAGTGAGCCATGGCGCTGGCTTAAGAAAAACTTTCATTACTTACATTTTGAAGTTTAAAATTCTATGGTTCCATCATTCTCTTTCTCATAGAAATAAGAGCTGTTCTTATTTTCAGTCTGCTTTTACATAACAGGAGGTACCTTAACAAGGCAACTAACAAGTAGGGCTGACAGTAAGAAGGAAGTACTTTCCAGTACTAGGCCTGTTATAGATTCCCTTAACTAGAAGTCAGGTTTATTGAACTTGTCAGTTTTCACCTCCACTTTGGGTAACTTTTCAATTCAAAAGAAAACTAAAGTGTGCATGGTTGGCCAACTTGTGCTTCTTTTCAATGTTATAAATAAACCTGGAAGTGTATTTAGCTTGCTTTCACTTTAGACTACAGTTTAGCTTAGTATTCTTATTGCCTTTGAACACTTAAACACACACACACACACACACATACACACACACCCCTTCTCTGTTGATGAAAAGTCAATGCTCATGTTGATTGTCCATTTTGGAAGTTAATCTGTCTTTTTTCTGGTTACTTCCAAGATTTTCTCATGATTCACAAGTTTGATTACTTTATCCTGCAATTTCACTCTAAGTCTAAGCATTAATTTGTTTTTGTTTGTCTTTCTCAGAGTAATGTGCGCCCTTTTACTTTGAGGTCCCATGTCTTTATTCACTTCTGGAAATCTCTTAGCTGTTTTCTCTTCAGATCCAGAACTCTACATTCTATACTTTCCTTCCCTTAACTCTTCTTTCACATTTTCTATATTATTATTTTTCTGTGCTGTGTTCTGGTTTACTTTCATAGGTTTATTTTCAATTCACTATTTTCTTTTTTTTTTATTTGACAGGTAGAATTATAGACAGTGAGAGAGAGAGAGACAGAGAGAAAGGTCTTCTCCATTGGTTCACTCCCCAGGTGGCCACTACGGCTGGCGCTATGTCCATCCAAAGCCGGGAGCCAGGTGCTTCTTCCTGGTCTCCCATGTGGGTGCAGGGACCAAAGCACTTGGGCCATCCTCCACTGCCCTCCTGGGCCACAGCAGAGAGCTGGACTGGAAGAGGAGCAACCTGGACTAGAACTGGCGCCTATATGGGATGCTAGGACCACAGGCAGAGGATCAACCTACTAAGCCACCGTGCTGCCCCCTTCAATTCACTATTTTCCCGCTGTATGCAAGCTATTATTTAAGAAGTTTGCTGGGGGCCAGTGCTGTGGCAGAGCGGATAAAGCCGCCACCTGCAGTGCCGGTATCCCATATGGGCACCAGTTGGTATCTGGGCTGTTCCAGTTCTGATCCAGCTCTCTGCTATGGTCTGGGAAAGCAGTAGAAGATGGCCCAAGTCCTTGGGACCCTGCATCCATGTGGGAGATGGGGAAGAAGCTCCTGGCTCCTGGCTTCGGATCAGCATAGCTAGGGCCGTTGTGGCCAGTTGGGGAGTGAACCAGTGGATAGAAGACACCTCTCTCTCTCTCTCTCTCTCTCTCTGCCTCTCCTTCTCTCTCTGTGTAACTCTGACTTTCAAATAAATAAATAAATATTTTTTTAAAAAAGAAGTTTGTTGATGTTCTTTTTTTAAGTGATTGTTGTGTCTTTTATGAAATTTATAAATGGTACAACTTCTTTTAGTTTTAATGTTTTGTCCATTAAAATAAATTCTGTCTCTTTGTTTGTTTCAAGCATATTTATATTAACATCCCCTTCAGGGGCAGGTGTCATGGCACAGCGGGTTAACCTGCCATTTGTGACACTGGCATCTCCTATTGAAGTTATGGTTCAAGTCCCAGCTTCTCTGCTTACTGCTTCCTTCTGGGAAGACAGTGGAAGACACCTCAAGCACTCTGGTGCTTGCCACCATCTGGGAGACCAGGATGGAGTTCCTGGCTCCTGGTTTTGTCCTGGCCTAGACGTGGATATTGCAGGCATTTGGAAAATGAACCAGAGGACAGAAGACCTCTTTCTGTGTCTCTTCCTCTTTCTCTGTTCTGGATTTAAAATAAATAAATAAATAGATAATTTTAAAAAACAATCTCCTTTACCTTGCTCTATTATCAGAGTTGTGGAATATCTACTTTGTTAGACCTCTTATTTACCAATAAACTTCCTCATTTATTTTCTGCTTGTGACTTCATCTTCCATAAGAATTATCTTTCCTGAGACTTCTCTTAGGGTGGTTTGGCAAAGCCTCTATTTAGATTTTCAACTATCATATTATTTTTTAACTTGAGATTTCTGCATAATGTGGGTAGTGTGAATATTGATAGTTTCACTATAGCATGGATTTCACTCTTCTTTGTGTACTGTTTCTTCTATATCTGCAGGCAGATGGTTGTGTTTGGGCTTTGTTTAAGGTCTGTTGATCTCGTGGCAGGAAAATTCTTCATTACTCATTTTAGGCAGGGAATCAAGTTCTTGATTTGCACAGGTTCTGCACCTTCAGTCTTATCTTTGCAAAATATTAGGGCTCCAATTATGGTATTCTAGTACTTCATGAACAATGGCAGCTTTAATTCCTTTTCACACTGAAACTTCTTGATTTATGTAACCTGGAGATTTTTCTCATGTTGAGTTTGGCTACATACTATCAAAATAATTGAAAATGTTCCATCTAAAATTTCTGTGTTTTTGTTGTTGTTGAAGGTATATAGAAAATTTCCCCTCTGCTTAGCCTACTATGACAGGAAGCTATTCCAGTCCTCTTACATCTCTTCCACAAAAGTGATTTTTACTCTGAAGTGTCTAATAAATGGTTGTGAAATAGTTGTGTATTCAAAGTATACATCATATTTTGTCCAAATGAACCCTGCAAAGAGAAGCTTTAAATTAACATTATGGAAAATGCATAGAGGAAGATACTGATGCGGTTTATGGCGGTGTGTCAATTTGCTTACTCCTTTTACAGTAAGATTTTTCTCTCACTATGTAATTGTCTGATAGGCTTATCTGAGAAACTGATTCTTTATAATTCAGTAGTTAAATGAAAGAGTCTTGGGCTTTTGTCTCAGCAGACTTTGGGTTTAAATTCCAGTTGTTCTATACTGAAATGTTCAAGTCACATAGTAGGCATTCAATAATCAATCACTTCTTGAATAGATAAAAGATTGGATGAATGATCTTGCTGAGTATTAGTTCCTTCTATAAAAATTATGGCTGATAACACTGACCATCCACAGAGCTTTGAGAATTAAGTTCTCAAAGAATCTAAGGAATACAGCATCAAGTCCAGCATATAGAGAGAACTAAATAATTGTTTATTATTTTTATGCTATAGAGTTAGTTGAAATGTATATGCCAAGGCTTGAACTTAGGGGAATTTAAATAATTAGGCAATTTCTTTACCTTTTCTTTTCTTTCTCCCATTGTTTCCATTATTTGTATCTGCTTGTGAAAAACATCTACTGATCATAGAGTCATGCTCAAAGACGATATTAAGAAACCAATTTGAATTCATAGTCCTACCATTTCCTTCCCAGAATAAATTTAATGAAAAAAAATTTGACATTTTTATATATTTGTAATGAAGAAATGGTTCTCCTCCAAGTAAACATTTACTATATTATTAGAAAAATTAGAAAAAAAATATTAGAAGCAAAGAGAACTCTGGCATATCTGTACTGGTAGAAATATCATATTACTCTAAAGAAGAAAAAGGTTTTCCTGATTTAATATATGTTAAAAGCGAGGAAGAAATAAAAACACAATTTCCTTGAATTCTTTCTGATTTTCACTTATTACTTTTTTAAATGGAGTTAAAATATCTTAAAGAAAATTAGATCATCATATAGTTTTCTGCTATTATATTCCCTTTAATATTCAACTATAATTTATGTAATTTAAACTATAAATTTTAGAATCTATTGTACTCGAATTTCCCTGCTTGATAATAAATCTAGAGACTTGTAGTGCCATCTTGTGAAAAAGATGCAGAACTGCATTGCAGTAACTCATTTGAATAAATTGAACCATAGTGGAGAAAGAATATAGAACTGAAAGTTGTGTGTAATAAAGTTAATTAGCATATTTCTGTTAACTTGCAGATTTAATATTAAAATAAATACAATCTAGATGTGTTTTCTACCTTCCTAGAGGTTTCTGTATCCTAGATAACAGCTGGGAAGGAAAGGTTAACACCTTGGGTTGAAACTGTACAAGAGGAATTACCAATTAACAAAATATTTTGATTTCAAAGGGAAAGGAGAAAAGAAAAAATTTTGCCTGATATTCTGAATTGCAAAGCTGTGTACATGATTGAATCAGAAATGTGGCCAAGCTCAACTGAGAGGAGAGTTTTTCTCAACACTTACAGCTGTTCTGTGAAATCGTCGGCACCTACACAAGGCAGTAACACCCTCTAGTTGTCATAGAAAGAGAATCTGGGAAGCTGACAGAGGTTACTGCGACTTATGGAAGAGTTACAAGTGAAACTGATTCCTGAATATTTACTTTACCTTGTTAGAGGAAGATAAAGGAAGCATTTGCTTTTGGGCTCAAAGTGAAGCACATTACTGGCAAGTTCAAGGCCCTCCGAATGATCTGATGAAATAGACAAAAGCTACTCCCCACCCACTGATTCAGGAGCACCTCCTTTGATGGCTCATCATATTGGAATAGCTGCATACATGGATGTGGAAAACAGCCATGCACTGCCATGAGGATACTACAGAGAGATATGGGGAAGTCAGTAACATAAGATATGGTTCTGTATTTGAGGTTTTATGAGGGGCCAAGTATAAAGAACAAAGGAAGATTATTTTTGTAAAGATGGGCTGATAGAGAGAAAGAAAAGAAAGATGAGACAGAATCCAGGGAGCAGCGATGGTTGGGAGCAGGAGGTAGTAATGAGGTGAACTGGATGGTGATGGCACTTGAAATGGAATCTCATTTTTTTGTGGTATCATTTTAATGGCCAAAAGATAGCTTTTGAGAACTGTGCTGAGGAAAATACCAAGAACAAAGAAAAGATGCGAGAATAGTAATGATGAAAAGCTTCATTTAAAAAAATTCAACTCATGCCCTAAGATCCTGTTTCTATTACCAATATTTTGAGTTCCTCCATTGATTTAAAGACCCACGGGGTTATGTCTATGAGGTGATTTAATTGCTTCTTCTTCCTACATGTTTAAGGAAGCAGCCATGTGCATGCAGTGAGTCATGAAACTGAAGGAATTTCATTCCATAAACCTTGCTTTGAATTTTCTTGCCTTCATGGATTTAACTTAGATCCTTTAATGCCTTAATAATTTGGTTTTGTATTGAATGTCCTTTGGGCTTCCATTGTCATTTTTTTAAGACATTTTCCATGAGTTCAAAATAATCTTTTTGGTGAAAAGGCAATTCAATTATAGTGACAGCATAAAAGGAACCCAATATGATACAATTCCCTATTGAGATCAGATTTACTTCTAAACCCAGCTGATTTTATAAAACCAAAATTTGTATTTGCATTTTGAGACACTTGACTGAGGGACTTGATCAGAACCTAACGCATCAAATAAAAGTGAATCTCTCATCTAAATAAGAAAGAGCTGAATTAAGAGTTTAAGTAACTCTTTCAGGGACACAGTTACCATTGCACAGACATTTAAGCAGGTTCAAAAGCAGGATTATTGAATACCAAATCTCCTCCAACATGCCCCCACTCATATGCAGAGAACCATCCCTCCCTAACCTTCAACAGGCAGCAGAGCAGGACTCCAGTCACTGGAAAGTGGGTTGGCACACTGACCTTAGACCTTTGTGTTGAAAGCTCAGTGATGGCATCAGGTAGAGCTTGGTGGTTCATGGGACAGACTCCTTTTGGCCTGTATCACTACCAGCATCATGTAAATCTGTTCCTGGGACTGTGCAGGGCCCAGTGACTATGAAACTCAGGTCTGACCCAGCTTAATGTCAGCCTCCATGGACAAAGGATTGCCTTACCACCTGTCCCCAAATCACAGAGAGCAAAGAAAAAGACTCCACCCACTGGGGAGCAGAGCACCAAGGTGAGCACAGTACTGCATGTTGGATCTGGTAAAATCACAACTAAGCGTATACAAAATAGAGTGATCACTGGACCAGCCGAATACTGAGTGAAGACCCATGGTTCCAGTCAATTGGGCTTTTTTTTTTCTTTTTCAGGCAGAGTTAGAGTGTGAGAGAGAGAGAGAGACAGACAAAGGTCTTCCTTTTCCGTTGGTTCACCCCCAAATGGCTGCTACGGCCAGTGCACTGTGCCAATCCAAAGCCAGAAGCCAGGTGCCTCCTCCTGGTCTCCCATGTGAGTGCAGAGACCCAAGCACTTGGGCCATCCTCCACTGCCTTCCTGGGCCACAGCAGAGAGCTGGACTGGAAGAGGAGCAACTGGGACAGAATCCAGTGCCTCAACCGGTACTAGGACCTGGGGTGCCAGCGCCGTAGGCAGAGGATTAGCCTAGTGAGCTGTGGCGCTGGCCAGTCAATTGGACTTTTATCTTGACCAGCATCACCTGTGGTTGGTTGTAGCTGCCTCAGGCTGCAAGCCCATCTCAGCAGCAGGCAGTCTTTAATATGTAGGCATCGACCCTACATATACCACACTGGGTTTGGAGAACTGAAGACACTTAAGTGAGAGGCTTGATTAGAACCTAAAACATCAAATAAAAGTGAATCTGTTCCCTCAACCCAAGGCAGCATCAAACCAAGAGAGTAATTATCTGGGGAGGAGGGAGGGAAGAAAAGCCAGGGAAATGCCAAGACATTGTGTAGACCTGAGGCTAGAACTAGGAGTACTTCTATGCCCTGTCAGATTTTAAAGTGGTGCTACCATGACCCCAAACATGACCCTGCCAACAAAGGTCCCCTCTAGGATTCTAGGCTGGGATTTCTGCAATCCTAGCCACAGGGGACTGAGATCTATCACCCTTGTAATCCTGCAATTTGCCTCATGGGCTGCTGTTCAGATCCATAATCCCCAGATGGGTTTGAGAGGAACACTCATGCCCCACTGCCACTGACAGCAATTGCAATTGAAAGAAAATATGAGGAGGGGCCAGCATTGTGGCTTAGCAGGTAAAGCCGCTGCCTGCAATGCCGGCATCCCATATGGGCGCCGGTTCATGTTCCAGCTGTCCTACTTCTGATCCAGCTCTCTGCTATGGCCTGGGAAAGCAGTAGATGGCTCAAATCATTGGGCCCCTGCACCTGCATGGGAGACCTGTAAGAAGCTCTTGGCCCCTGGCTTCGGATCGGTGCAGCTCTGGCCATTGCAGCCAACTGGGGAGTGAATCCGTGGATGGAAGACCTCTCTCTCCCTCTCCATCTGCCTTTCCTTTCTCTCTCTGTGTAACTCTGACTTTCAAATAAATAAATAAATAAATATTTAAAAAAAGAAAGAAAATATGAGGAGACTATATACTGCAGCATCCAAATAAAGCCAAAACAGCCTACCAAACTGACACTTAAAGACGTATCTTCAGGAAAAAGCCTTTTACCATTAAAACCACATATTAAAAGGATAGAAACAGCTAATCCCCCAAATGCACAATTACCAATGTAGGGACACAGGACATATGAAAAAGTAAGGCAATAGGATGCACCCAAAAGAACACAATAAATAGTGCAACAGCAACAGAATCCAGGGGAAAGGAAACTGATGAAATGCCTGACAAATAATTCAAAAGAGTGATTATAAGAGTACTCAGAGGGAAATGAGAGAATAAAGACAGCTGAACAAAGGAAAACAATACAGGATATGAATTTTAAAATCAGCAGGTGGCTGGTGCTGTGGCTAGGCTAAGCCTCCCCTGTAGCACTGGCATCCCATATGAGCACTGGTTTGTGTCCTGGCTACTCCTCTTCTGATCCAGCTCTTATTGCCTGGGAAAGCAGTGGAAGATGGCCCAAGTGCTTGGGCCCCCGCACCCACATGGGAGACCCGGAAGAAGCTCCTGGTTCCTGGATTCAGGTTGGCCCAGCTCGGGTGATTGTGGTCATTTGGGGAGTGAACCAGCAGATGGAAACCTTTATCTCTGTCTCTTCCTCTCTCTGTCTGTAATCCTGCCTCTCAAATAAATAAATACAAAATCTTTTAAAAAATCAGCAAAAAATAGAGATCTTGAAAAAGAACCGAACAATGATCTTGGAAATAAAGAATTTAGCTAAACTAACAAGAAAAAAAAGAGGAAATTCACATAAATAAAATCAGAGATGAAAGAAGAGATATTATAACCGACACTACAGAAACACAAGGATCATGAGGGACTAATTATGAACAAGTACATGCCAAAAAATTGGAAAGCCTGGAAAAACTGGGTAAATTTCTGGATACACATAGTTTACCAAAATTGAATCAAGAAGACAGACAAAACTGGAACAGACCAGTAACAAATTATGAGACTGAATCATGATCAAAAGTCTCACAATATAGAAAATCCAAGGATTAAATGACTTCACTACTGAATTTTGCCAAACTTTGAAAGAATTGACAATAGTTCTCAAACTATTCCAGAAATCCAAAAAGAAAAAAATCTTTCCAAACTCATTCTGTTTGAATAGCATTACCTGGATTTCAAAACTGGACAACAAAAAATGAAAACTATAGAGCAACATACCTATTGAACATCAGCACCAAAATTCTCAACAAAATACTAGTAAATTAAATCTAACAACACATGAAAAATGTTTCATCTTTATCAATTGGGATTTATCCTAGGGTTGCAGGGATGTTTCAACATATGCACATCAATAAACAAAATGCATTATGTCAACAGGATGAAGAATAAAAATCATATGATCTTCTCAATAGATGCATAAAAAGCATTTGATAAAATTCATGTTAAAAAAAAAAACCTCTTGAACAAATTAGGTATTGAAGGAACTTATCTCAACATAATAAGGGCCATATACGACAACCCCATTGCCAATAACATATTAATGGTGAAGAGCTGAAAGCATTTTCTCTCAGATCTGGAACTAGACAGCAATGCCAACTCTCACCACTCTTATTGAATACAGTACTGGGGGTTTTGGCTTGAGCCATTAGGCAAGAGAAAGAATACAAGGCATACAAATAGGAAAGGAGAAGTCAAATTATCCATGTACAGATTGCATAATTTTATATAGAGAAAAACTCAAGACTCCACCAAGTAACTACTAGAACTGATAACAAATTGAGTCATAGTATACAAAGTCGACACACAAAAATCAGTAGTATTTTTGTATGTAAGTAACAGACTCAAAGAAATACATTATAAGAGAAATCTCTGGGCCAGCGCCGCGGCTCACTAGGCTAATCCTCTGCCTGCGCTGCCGGCACATCGGGTTCTTGTCCTGGTCGGGGTGCTGGATTCTGTCCCAGTTGCTCCTCTTCCAGTCCAGCTCTCTGCTGTGGCCTGGGAAGGCAGTGGAGGATGGCCCAAGTGCTTGGGCCTTGCACCCGCATGGGAGACCAGGAGAAGCACCTGGCTCCTGGCTTTGGATCAGCGCGGTGTGCCAGCCGCGGCGGCCATTGGGGGGTGAACCAACGGAAAAGGAAGACCTTTCTCTCTGTCTCTCTCTCTCACTGTCCACTCTGCCTGTCAAAAAAAATCTCCTTCATGATAACTACAAAATATAAAATAATAGAATAAAGTTAATGAAGAATGTGAAAATTATGAAACACTGATAAAAGAATTTGAATAAGACACTAAAAAGTGAGATGACTTTCCAGGTTCATGGACTGAAGGAATTAATATTGTTAAAATGTCCATAATACCCAGAGCAATTTGTGGATTCAATGAAATTCCAATGAAAAAACAGACATTCTTCACAGAACTAGAAAAGGAAATCCTAAAATTCCCGTAGAAGCACAGCCAATACCAAATAGTCAAAGCAATCTTGAACAGAAAGAACAAAACTGGAGGCAACATGCTACCAAATTTTAAGACATACTGCAGAGCTATTATTCTCCAAACAAACAGATACACAGATCAATAGAACAGATTAGAGATCCCAGGAATTAATCTACATGTCTATAGCAAAGTGATCTTTGGAAAAATAGTAACAACATAATGGAAAGAGGATAGTGTCTCTCCCATAAATGTGGGAAAACTGGTTATCCATATGCAGAACACTTAAACAAGACCCCTCTACCATCTCTCTGTGCAAAAATCAACTCAAAAACGGATCAAAGATCCAAATGTAAGATGTGAAACTATGAAGAGGGTGTGAGGCAAATGCTGTAAGACATTGCCATAGACTATGACTTTTTTAAATAAAAAAACCCCAAAAGCATAGGTAACAAAAGTAAAAATAGACAAATGAGGTTATATTCAATTAGGAAGGTTCGATTGAAACAAATCAATAGAGTGAAAAGGCAACCAACAGAATGGGAGAAAAATATTTTCAAACAATGTATCTGTTAAAGGATTAATATCCAGAATATATAAGGAACTAAAAAAAACACCCACAATTCAGTTAAGAAATGGGTAAAGGATCTGCATACAAATTTCTCAGAAAAAATACAATGATCAATGAATACATGAAAAACACTCAACATCACTAGTCATTAAAGATATAAAAATCAAAATCACAAAGATATCATTACATTCCAGTTAGAATGGCTACTACAAAAAAAGACAAAAAATAAAATACATCAGTGAGTGTGTGTGGAAAAAAGGCAATCGTTAGACACAGTTGGTATGCAAAACATGGAGGTTCTACAAAAAAATAAAAATAGATCTGTCCTATGACCCAGATATCCCACTTCTAGTTGTATAGCTGAAGGAAATGAAATGAGCATATGAAAGAGATAACTTGCATTCCTGTATTTGCTGCAACATTATCTACAAAAGCCAAGATCTGGAGCAAACTTGGATATCTACTGACTGATGAATGGTTAAAGAAAATATGGTATCTACACATAGTGGAATATTATTCAGCCATGAAAGAGAAGGAAACCCTGATGTTCTCAAAAAAAAAAAAAAACAGTTAGAAATGGAGGTCAATATATTCAGTGAAATAAGCCAAATACAGAAAGACAGTTATCACATGTTCCCTCTTATAAGGAAGCTTTAAAAAGTACTTGATCTAACTAAGAATAATGATTACTAAAGGTTGGGCAAGGTTGAGGGAGGTGACATAGTGGGAAGTTGGATACTTGGTGCCAAATTACAGTCAGATAGAAGTAACCAGTTCTAGTGTTCCATAGCACAGGGGGGTAACTAGAGTTCACAATATAATATCTAAATAAATAATTGGAAGAGAGGAGTTAGTAGACTTGAAACAGAAAGAAAAAATAAGGAAATGGAAGCCCAGTTGCCTTGTTTGATTTATTTACACTGTGTATGTGTGTTGAAATATTGTACTGTGTCCCATAAACATGTAAAAGTGGTGCATGTGTATTGGAAATTTATAAATTAAAATAATTTTAAAAAGAAATAGAGACCCTTAAGCCCTGTCCTAGAACTTCCACATTCACATCTGTATTTTAAACAAAATGTACAAATCTTTGCTATCCATGTTACAGTTTGACAAGCACCATTTTCACAGACATTTTAGCTTCTGGCATAGTGCCTGTCACTTACTCAATTTTTTAAAAAAGATTTATTCATTTATTTGAAAGTCAGAGTTACACACACAGTGAGAAGGAGAAGCAGAGAGAGAAAGAGAGGTCTTCCATCTGCTGGTTCACTCCCCAACTGGCTGCAACAGCCGGAGCTGCACCAATCTGAAGCCAGGAGCCAGGAGCTTCTTCCAGGTCTCCCATGCAGGTGCAGGGGCCCAAGGACTCGAGCCATCTACTGCTTTCCCAGGCCATAGCAGAGAGCCATATCGGAAGTGGAGCAGCCGGGTCTCGAACCATCACCCATATGGGGTGCCGGCATTCCAGGCGGCGGCTTAACCCACTACGCCACAGCGCCGGCCCCTTACTCAATGTTTAATGGAAGTTTATTGAAAGAATTAAGTGGAATGCTTGGAGGCCACCAACTTGAGCCTCAGGAGGATATGAAAGTAAGTGATATCAACTCCAAACCAATGCCTTGAACTAGAGATAAACTTCTATATTGATTACAGAAAGAAAGAAAAAACATATGCCTTAAGCCAGGGGTGAAAAGCAAGGAAAGAGCAGAGTTTTTAAGGGTTAGAATATACAAGCAGAAGGACTATGGGAAGGAAGTACAGGAAAAAGCCCACCAAGACATGGTGACCACATCATAAGCCTCCTCCCATTGCAATACAATGAGACAAATGGCTCCTCATGTCCTACACCAAGTAAGACTGTGTGGCAATGGCCTGGGAGGGAAGGGCAAGCAATTTCACCCTCCTTCAAGGGAGGGGAGTTGTCTAAGAGCTTTGTTTAGAGAATTGCTTTAAGGATCTAAAATTGCCAATGGGTTAAGTAGAAGAGACCCCTACTTGTTCCTCTTGAACCATATTTTCAGATGCAAATATAAATTGGTATTTAAATAACAGTTATAATACTTAGTTTTGAGTTGAGTTTAACTCATTGAATATGTTGATGATGGCTTTGAAGTGTTCACGTAAAAAGTAAATTAAAATGTTCATTTTCTATACTTCCTTTTTAGAAGTATCCTCTTATTTTAACTTAGCTTTATGTCTGAGTTAGCTTTTTGTTACTATAACTAAAAACCTAAGACACGCTACTTATGAAAAAAGGAGGTTTATTTCCACTCATAGTTTGGAGATCCACACTGGGTTTACTCCCTTTGGGGCAGAGATTCAGCTTTGGACTTTCATTTGAAGAAAACAATCTAGGAAATTTGTCTCAGAGTGTCAGATCATCAGCAGCAACATCATCCAGAAACATGTTATAAGTGCAGATTCTTAAGCCTCTAATCCAAACCAATTGATTCAGGAGCTCAAAGATAGGGCCCAGCAACTAGCAATGTTTTCAGAAGACCCAAGAGATTCTAATGTATGTTTAAGGTTTAGAATAATTCTTTTGGGGGAAAGAGAAGACACAAAGTGAAATAAACCCAAGTCGCTGAAGGTCCACATGGAACAAAACTGTATATATGAATTTGGATCTTAGAAGAAAGTTTTGGGGGCCGATGCTATCATGGTGTGGTAGGCTAAGCCTCTGCCTGCGTCACTGGCATCCCATGTGGGTGCAGGTTTGAGTCCCAGCTTCTCCTCTTTAATCCAGCTCTCTGCTTGTGGCCTGGGAAGGCAGTAGAGGATGGCCCAGGTGCTTGGGCCCCTGCACCTACATGGGAGACCCGGAGGAGGCTCTTGGCTTCTGGCTTCGTATTGGCTCAGCTCTGGCCATTGAGGACATTTGAGGAGTGAACCAGTGGATGGAAGACCTTTCTCTCTCTCTCTCTCTCTCTCTCTCTCTCTCTCTCTCTATATATATATATATATATATATATGCCTCTTAAACAAATAACAAATAAGAAAAATGAAGAAAGTTTTATGTGTGAGATTAACAATTTAGTGTGATGTTTAAAGCCATAGGAATAGGTGAGATAACCTAGGGAGAGAAAGAAAGTAAAGAGAGAGAATCTAAGATTGAAGCATGCATAATTACAACAATTAGAGAGAGGGCAAAGGAGGAGTAGATTGCAAAAGCATCTGTGAAATGGCAGCTACAGAAGGAGAAGGAAAGTGGTATTATGAAAGTCAAGAGGATATTTTTTCAGGGAGGCAGTTGGGACCTCCTCTATTGGACGCAGAGATTCTAGCACCAGTGCATTTTTAGAAGACTGATCCTGACTTGAGGGTGTGCCTGATAGTGTAAAAAGCAATCCCTTACTTCCTTTTGCCAGTGTTTGGTACAAGAATTAACATGAGGGGTGTGACATTGTGGCACAGTGGGTTCAGCCACTGCTTGCAATGCCAGCATCCCATATTGGAGCACCGGTTCAAGTACTAGCTGCTCTGCTTCCAATCCATCTCCCTGCTAATGTGCCCGGGAAAGCAGCAGAAGATGGCCCAAGTGCTTGAGACTCTGCTACCCATGTGAGGGACCTGGATGGAGTTCCTGGCTCCTGGCTTGAGCTTAGCTCAGCCTCGGCTGTGGCCATATTGGAAGTGAACCAGTGGATGGAGGAGTTCTCTGTCTCTCCCTCTCTCTGTCACTCTACCTTTCAAATAATTCTTTTTTATTCTTAAGATTTATTTATTTATTTAACATGGGAATTACTTTCTGGCTGGTAAGATGCAGTGAGAAGTGTGGTGGAGACTTCTGTGAAAATTTGTGCTCTCTCTTAACAGAGAGCAACAGGAAGCCCAGTGTCCCTCTCTTCTACTGAATGTTGACAACATAGCGCAGACTACAGTAATCTCTCTTTATCTACAAAGCATATGTTCTAAGATCCCCACTGGATGCCAGAAACTGCAGAAGGTTCAACATTCTATAGATACATATAAACACCTATGCTTAAGTTTAATTTATGATTCAGGCACAGCAAGAGATTAACAATCATAACTGATAGTAAAATAGAATAATTATAACAATTTAATAAAGTTACATGAATGTGGTTTTTCTCTTCCCCTCCCTATCTCTCAAAATATCTCATTATCCTATATGCTCACCCTTTTTTCCTTGTGATTAGATGATGATGATACAACGCCTATGTGATAAGATGGAGTAAGGTGAATGGCACTGTCCTTGTGACATGATGTTAAGCTACACATAAGCACTATGAACTATTGAACATTTTGTGGCCATATTGTATGAACTATTGAACATAAGTACTGTGATAGTAAGACAGTCCAGCTTAAAACTGAGATGACTACTGTGTGAAGCAGTGAGTGGTATAAACTGCAGAGCTACCCTGGACCAAGGACTGATCACATCCTGGGCAGGATTATGTGAAGTTTCATCACACTATTTAGAATGGATGGCAATAAAAAATTTATGAATTTATTTATAGAAGTTTCCATTTAATATTTTCAAACAGCAGTTGACCATGAGTAAATGAAACCATGGAAAGCAAAACTGCATATAAGGAGAGTGACTGTGTAACTGGCAGCCATACTCAGACCATGAGGTGATCTTGAAGGCAGCATTTAAGGTTATAAATTTCTTCATTTGTAAAGTGGGGATAATGCTAGCATTTGCCCTACAAAAGAGGAAGCTGGCACTTCAGGTACCAATGCAAAGAATCTTTCATAACATGGTCAAGTTGCCAAATCTACCAAATCAAACTTTCTGTTATTCAAGTTAACACATTTCTTTGTTGTTTCCATCAGCTTAATTTTGGGTTTCTCTTATCTGTCACTGGGAGGACTTTATCTAATAAAGTGATAATGTGAAGGCTCTTTGTATTTTTAATTATCAGAGTCACCAATTTATTTCAAATTCTCAAAAAAGATTATTTGTATGAAGTATTGTTCAATGAGTATTGTAAAGTATTTTCTAAGGCAATGGAATCAGCACCCTAATCCCATAAGACAACAATAAAAAATCATTTTAGGAATAATGGATTAAGCATTTTACTTATCTGAGAATGAATATATATTCCCTATTAATATATTAGTCTATAATTCAGGTCAAACTTTAATATTAAAACTCAGAGAAATTAATATTTTGAATTCTCAATTAGCATAAAAGATGCAAATATTCAAAGTCTATGTCTTATCCTCTCCTCAACTTTGAGTAACTGTAAGGATTAAAAATCAGGTCTATGGAAGAGCTGGCACCGTGGCTCACTTAGCTAATCCTCTGCCTGTGGCGCCGGCATCCCATATGGGCGCCAGATTCTGGCCCCAGTTGCTCCTCTTCCAGTCCAGCTCTCTGCTGTGGCCCGGGAGGGCAGTGGAGGATGGCCCCTGCACCCGCATAGGAGACCAGGAAGAAGCACCTGGCTCCTGGCTTTGGATTGGCGCAGTGCTGGCCATAGTGGCCATTTGGGGAGTGAACCAACGGAAGGAAGACCTTTCTCTCTGTCTCTCTCACTGACTATAACTCTACCTGTCAAATAATTTAAAAAAAAATCAGGTCTATGGAAAGAACATCCTGAATATTAAATATGCAAAATATAATAAACACGGCAATATATCCACACAAAGTCAATTATTTGACTAGTTGAAATATTGATATGTTAATTTCATTTGGAAAATTGATCTATTAAAATACAATGAAGCTTAGTGTTTCAAATTAATTTTGTTTACTACTGGAGTATTGAGGCTATACAGAGAATATTAATCTATTAGGACTGTAGGTAGTAGTTCCGTTCCCGCTATTAGTTGTGTGGTCTCATGCACATAGTTAACCACTTGTTACTTAACTATCAAAATGTGGACAGGTTGCTAACTTGTGTAGTTCTTCCATTTCCACAATTTTATCATTTAAATTGTGTATTAAATTTCTAAAATAAAAATAACTAGACATATTTTTATAAGGATGTTATATGTAATCTACTCTATTTCCAATTCCAAACTGATAATTGCCTCCAATTTTTAACTTGGCCTCTTTCCAAGCATTTCTATTTAGAATTATTTAATAGGAGTAGGTAGGAAGCTTCCATATAGATAAGTTCTAAGTAAAATACCTGCTTACCTTGCACTTACAAAACATTTTAAAGAGAGGTGCAAATAGACTGTCACAATGACAAAAGAGAATTCCTGCTTGTGGTGGTTAGAAATAGGATTAAAACAAAGCATGAGTCTTAAACCAGCAAGGTATTTTATAAACCATGAGATTATCATTAACAATATTCTTATTAAAAATGCCACTGTCGACATTCCCACGCAGAGTGTGGTACGTGCTGTGCCAACTGGATTAGTTTTGTGATGTGAAATTTATAACATTTGGTTTGTGCTGCAGTGTCTTCTATGACAAACACATTTTATTGGTTCAGTGACCAAAGTCAGCCTGCACAAATGTGAGTATCAGTGATGAATGCTGATTTTTTATGTGCCTCCCCACCATTCATAGACAAATGTTAAACTCCTTTCCTTTGATCTACTCTTCTTCTTGTTCTGTCTTCATGCTCCTCAATAAAATACTTACATACTTACATGCCTAGTAATTGGATACATTTTCTTAGTTCACTGTCTTCTCTAATTTTAAAAGCCAGTGATAGTTAACCTTTGACTTGACAAATGTGATCCAATTGAGTTAAACTGCTGTTTGTCTAGAACTTAAAAGGTAAAATGCCTATATAAATATGTGGTAATTATCACCAGAACTGTTCATTTTTAACTATTAAATTTAAACAAAGAGAAATTGCTGTTTGTTCATGCAAAACAAACAGTGCCTGCTTAAGATCTTTTTGATTAATCTGCTTCCCTGTGTGTAGATGTGGGAGAAAACAGAGCCTCGGGCTCAGCACATACATCTAAGAAACAGAAAAAGCTTTGTTGTGCCAGTCCCAGTCAATGGTTAGGGTTTTCCCAGACAGGGCATTTAGTGATAAAACATGCAGGGTCACCTGGAGAGAGAAAGACCAAACCTCTGGGCCAGGCCAATACAACCAAAGCATGACAGAAATGGCCCACGTCTAGAGCAATCTTTGGAAATAAAAGAGATGCTTTGCTGTTGGAGTGAGAGTAGTTAAATAGGAATTTACAGAGAAGGAAATAGTGTCTGATCATACTAGAAATTGCACACGAAATAAGAAAATGAGGAGACAGTTTCTCAAAATTTTCTTTCTTGATTGAATTAACCTGAAAGACACAGTGAGAAGGTCAACACCCACCTACTGGTTCCCACCCAAATGTCCACAGCAGCTAGGGCTGTGCCAGGCCATTGTCAGGAGCTAGAAATGCTATCTGATTATCCCATGTGGGTAGCAGATTTCTGACTATTTGAACCGTCACTGCTGCCTCCCTGGATGCATATTAGCAGAAACCCGGAATTGGGATCAAAGTCAGGACTCAAGCCCAGACACTCCCATATGGGATTTGAATATTCCAAGTGGCAGCTTAACTGCTATGCCAACTGCCTGCCCCCCAAATTTTTAAAGCAAAACTGGTGGCTGAGATGGTGCTATAAATAGTGAAGGCCACACACATGTTGATGGAGCTTTGCTCAGCAAGACAGTTCACCTGGGAGTATACTAAGAGATGGGAGAGACTGATAGAGCTGGATAGCAATAACTATGTTGAAAGAGACTGGCACTGTGGCATAGCAGGTTAATCATCTGCCTATGACCAGCATCACATATGGGTGCCAGGTGGAGTTCCAGCTGCTCCACTTGCAATCCAGCTCCCTGTGAATATGCCTGGGAAAGCAGCAGAGAATGGCCCAAGTGGTGGTCCCTGCACTCACGTGGTACACCTGGCTCTCGCTCTCTGTCTCTCTATCTCTCTGTAACTGACTTTCAAATAAACAAAATCTTAAAAAAAGGGACTGTGTTGA